GAGAGAGAGAGAGAGGAGGACAGGGAGAGAGTGAGAAGGAGACAGAACCAGAGAAAACGAAAGACCATTACCGCAAAGCCTCGCCCGGGACAATTGAGGTCGTGGACCTATGGAAATAGATACACACACAGACGTCCGGATATCTCTTACCTGCTTCAGAGAGTCCACCTGAGAGTTAGCTTTCCGGGCGTCTTCTAACGATTCTTCCAGCTCACGGATTCTCCCCTGAGGGAATAAAAATTATATTGTAAAACTTGTAAATACAAAACAACAACAACACTAATGATAATAACACTAAGCACTACAACCCCCCCTCCCCCCCAAAAAAGCTGCGAAGTTGCAGGTGGTGAAATAGAACAGCACTTTGAAAGTCCTATACCTTATCCTCAATTATCTTTTTAGCGGGTAAATCAATCACACCCATACTTTGCACAGCAGTTGGTCTCAATTTGTCAAAGCTTAATAATATTTTTTCACAACAGTTGAGGCTAGATTAAAAAAACGTTCCTTCACAAATTTATATAAAACACTACAAACATCTTTCACGCGGAAAATAGAATTGTTCACAGCACTTCCCACTTCTCTTGGTATACGCATTTGGGTTAATGTCACAGCTTACCAACAGAACTTTTCAGTGGCCAAACTAGCTACAAGAAATTAATTTTATAGTGAACACTTTTTTGCACTAAAAGTTCTCAGAACATGCGTTCAATAAAGGTAATCTCGCTATTAGAAAACAAACAAACCGACAGACTTCCTTTTAACCGTTTACTTCCGTAAACCTTTTAAATCAGCAGAAACCACCCACTAGAATTTTAAAAATTAGTATTTGTTAAGGAATTTTCTAGAATACAGCTAACGAGTCTTAACAAAAATATTGTTCTGTTAAGACAAATTGATACAAGTCACTGTGCAAAAGCTGTTCGATTGCTGAGGATATAATTATTTGACAAAAAGTTGCGTCACGAATTTTTGACCGAACTATAGGTGCAATGAATAATTCCTCTCAGTTAAGTATCCTAAAGAGTGGCCAACAGTTTGTTTTCTTGACCCGATAACGGCCATTTTAGTGCTCAGAAAAAGAAACTGTTTTAATAAGTGTTTTACGGCACTTGCAACACAAATAAGTCACTTAACTGCCGAAGACTAGAGGTGTTACAGGAGAGTGGCAAACACAAACAATAGAAGGAGGTACGATAAGGAGCATGTATATTTGATAGGAAATAATGGGCAAACCACACCAGAGCACCCCCTAACCACCCAGAAAAGAAAAATTAACAGAAAGAACCAAAAAAAAAAGAAGAGAAATAAAAGACGTGAGACCAGCCAGTGACACCCACTTACCACCCATTATCCTTACGAGAGACCTACAGTTTAGTTTATCCGTTTGAGTAAAGAGAAGCCCATCGACAAACTAATGGTCATTAGCGCAGCTAAAAGGTAAGACACATAGACAAGAACAACAGAAGGAGAGAAAAGAAAAAAGGCCTACCCTTGTCGCCCTCAAATAGCCTCAACAATATGGAATACAGAAGGGCACAGAATAATACAACCCCCCCCCCCCACCCATAAAAATAAAAAAAAACTAAACCAAACATCACAAGGAGACTTATTTGATTATAAGAGCTAAAACATTCTGAGGGCAGTTGGAACAGCCCCTTTGGAAACCAATCGTGGACGGATAATCACACTGTGCGGCAGACTTTTCAAACAACATAAGTGATCACAAAATACTCTGAAATTCGAACGAACGGAGAAAATCTGACAGAATGTAATACGGACGAGGAGGCCACATTTCGCTGACGTCACAGACAAGCATAAGGGGCCAAAAGCGAGATGTTGGAGACCTTGAAGAAAATACGTTAACGGGGTGAATAATACGAAACAAACAACGCCTCAGGGAAGCTATAAATAGACACCACAGATTTACCGCAGGGCAAGGCTGGAAAGTGAAATACATTTTTTTCTTAAAGGAGGAGAAAACAGAAAAAACGCGTCTTTCTTTTCTTTGTAAAAAAAAGAAAATCTTGAGTCTCTCCATTGTTTGAAACATTTCTCATGGTTCATCATTCGTCAGGTAATACATTAGCCGAATGGATCTGATGATAGCATTTCCGAGACGAAGGGTTATGGCCCATTACTGAACCCGCACATCACTTTTTAATCTACCGACTGAAACTAGTATAAAAAAACAAAACAAAACAAAAAACTCGTTTTGCAATATAGAGCTACGAGAAGATTGAATATTTTTTGGCTTTCCAATTTTTTGTCGTCTCAAAGCATTAGTCTTGTTAAAAATAACTCGACTCACCAAAATACCTGGAGGATCCAGGGCCGAGAAAATATTACCAGATTACTTTTTGATGCTTTTGTTTTGTCTATCACATTCTGAATTAAGAACTATGCTTCACGAAACTGATATACGACAACTATTTTGCTTTATTTAAAGTATTTTGAACAGCAGTACACTATGCCTGCCATCCCCATCCTAGGAAACAAACTTCTTCAAACGCAACAACAAGACATACAGAAACACAAGTGTAAGAAAAAGCTATCCCATAGAGCTTTTTGAGTTGTCATGGCAACGTCGTTACTGTAAACCCTCTCTGGTCCCAGGAAAACGGAGTGACCTAACCGATACACTGTCAGGCAGCAAAAGTAAAGGGCGCAAGCAATAGGTCAGTGGTATTATACAGCAACATCGGTTTAAACAACGGCTTAATTTCACCAGGAAGCAGATACGGACAATTTCAACAACGAAGAAGAAGAGGCAAGAAAAGACACCATAGTGTTCATCAGTCCAACCCATGACAGTTGTAAAGGTAAAAGTTACAGAGACAACATAGTAATTCAAATTTTCCGAATTTTTCGTCAGCACCTTGACCTGCAGAAAAACTCCTAACTGTCGTTATTTTTTGTGTATGTTTTACGTCCCTGTCGACAACAACAAATTGTGCCGGGCAGGAACATTCTTATAGCTGTATATCGTATTGCCCCAGGCTCCTCCAAAAGCCCAATTATTGTTTAACTAATTTAGGCAAACAGGCATTGTTAGAGGCACCGCTTGGGCCGAGCTATTGCTTCCTTCATCCCCCGTTTTACATGAGTCATGACCACTGAGGGTAATTGGTGTTCTCAACGTGAATGAGGAGGCAACAACAACAACAACAACAACAACAACAACAACAACAACAACACAAACCTGACCCAGACAGTGTCCTATAGGCAACATTTTCAAAAGCTTGACCAGCAATTCAAATGGCTTAAAAGTCAACGAATTATTTCAAATTCCGCTCACCGGAAAATAACCCCCCCCCTTTTAAATAATAAAACGAAAAAAGATTCTTTGTCTCTACAGACAATAACATTGATGTGTTTTGGTACATGAAGCCTCACCTTGTAGCCTCCCAGCTGCTCGTGTTTTGACTTGGACAGCTCGGCGATGCGACCTTTCTGTTCTTTGACGAGCTGAACAAGGACGGAAGACAAGATAACACACAGAGATGATTACTAGATGACTATATGAACAAGGAAAGAAGTCGAGAGAACACGGCAGAGGTAATTACTAACTGACTAAATGGACAAGAAGAGAAGAAATTCGGACACAGTAATTCCTAAATTACTAAATTGTATAGGCTTTACGCGTCTTTTAACACTGTAATAATAATACTGTGAAGGACGCACCTAATTTCACGTCCGTCCCCGGCAGGACCTAGCCAAGAAGTTGGAGAGCCTTGAGAGAGAACTCCTAGAAATAATCGAAATCAATTCAAAGAACGCCTCATTTTGGGATTCGAACCTGAGTCATCCGTTCGATAACACAGCATGATACCAACTGAACTAAGGACGCCCCCCCTCCCCCCCGTAACGCTGTTTTGTTGTTGTTGATGATGGAAATTAATGCTGTTGTAGCTCTAACTGTTGGAGACACTCTAGAGGCTTGTTCCCTCGAAGGAATGTGTTAAAATCAAACATGGCAAACTTTTTAATTTGTAGTTTGGGAGGAGTTTTACGGCGCCCGCAATTGCATAAGATCATGTGAGTGCGCCAAAGACAAGTTGGTTGCATTCCCTACAGTTCATAAGACGACTTGGTTTTGGTCATTGGTTATATTAAATGGTGATTGATAAAAAATTACGATAAAAATGTTAACCATAAAAAAATAAACAGTTTACATTACATTAAAATAACAGTATATCTGGTGTAAAGGCTAAAAGGCCTTTATAAAATTATTAAGAATTCTGTTGAGATCAACAACGGAGAATAGACCTTTCAATAATTTTTGTGTACAAGTAAAGTATTTTTCTTTGGGTCTCTCCTGAGTTCGGACATTCTGTTAGTATGTGTCTAATGGTGAAATCTGTGTCGCATCCAACACACAAGGGCTTTTCCTCTCCTTGTAGGAATGGCAAACTTTGGTATTCTGGTGCACTTGCGATAGAGACCTGGGCGGTACACCAAATCCATGTCCAAAAACTTAACCATTTCCATACGAGATGCCTAAAAAGAATTCTTGGCATCAAATGTCAGGATAAAATACCAGACACCGAAGTTTTCAAAAGGATAAATGACGAGAGTCTGTTTTCTAAGCTCAAAAGGACTCAACTTCGCTGAGCTGGCCATTAGTGGCGGGTGGTTCCCGTTTATTGCAAACTAGGAATCGTAGGAATCGAGTACGAACCCAATTCCTTTCCACTGTTGTGATTTCTTCCGGGCGTCCATGATTTTTTCCAGTGGTTCCAACCCCTAGACAATTACCTGATTACTTCCGGCAAAGTAGCACGTCTTACTTTCGATGAACCCAACTCCAAGCCAGTTCCGGTTACCTAGTCGGCTTCAAGCAGCTTCAGGGTCAATGATGACCTCGATTTCGAAACACGGCGAGACACCAACATTTTTCTTTGCAAAAATAAGTTGTTTTTTTTTAAAAAGAAG